CATTAGCCAGTTTAACATGTTGTACAAAAAACAGTTCTAAGTTTTTAATTGACTTGGTTACACAGCTGTCCATACCCAACTGTTAGGACTGAGACGTTGAATGGCTGTGCACATTACGCTAAATTATATTTGGTTTTCATTTAGTGAAATTCACACAGCCAGTCAGAGACTCAGGTTTTTCTTATGGGCCCTTATTTATCTTAGGCTGCCATTCCATTTATCTGGCAGCAGCTTTGTATGGTAGACTATATACCATATAACAATATATCTGATGGCCTCCAGAATTTCTGGAGTTTCTGAACGCCAACACACCTGGAGAGTTAACAGAACAACAGATATGGAAGAGACCTTGCAGGTCTTCTAGTCCAATCCCATATTCAGGCAGAAATCCTATACTATTTCAGACAAATGGCTGTCCAATCTCTACTTAAAAATTTCTGGTGTTGGAGCACCCACAACTTCCGGAGGCAAGTTTCAGATCAAGGAATATAGATACACACCCGTGGTGCTCCATAACTTTCAAGATCAACCCCATGATAGTTCTGTGACAAATATGCTTTCTTAGTCAGAACCAGCAACCAACTGGGCCATTAATCCTCTGTTTCTGTTCATAGAACCTTTTCAGCACCTTCCTGCTGCTCTTATGCACTAAGGCCATCTGCTGGTCAAACATCCGTGTGAAATCCATCTGTCACTCTATAAATGTCCTGCAGCATACAAAGTAGTGCTGGAGGTGCTTCGGAATGGTGGAAAGGTCATCTTAGAAAGAGAGCCTTCCACTCTCTGCTCTAAAATTAATTTCCCTCATTCTGGATTGGGCTGGACTGTTGAATACCATCTCTGAAACACAACTAACGCTGGGTGATAAAAGAGTTATTCTCAGCACTTAAATAACACCTATGTGGAGGTGCCACTTCAGGTGAAGGCAACATAAGCAGCGCCATTTAAGAGACGTTCGCTCTTAGATAATACACCACCAAAAATACTTTACAAGCTCTTTATTCTTCATTATGTTTATGGTACAAGGTAAACAGGGAACAGGTTCTTTTTATAGTCTCTCCCCTCCCCCCATTACCTTTTGGCCTAAATTCTTGTCCAGTAATTAGAGTCCTTTAATTATTTATGACCAGCTTTCCCAAATCGAGTGCTGTCCAACTATATATTGGCTTGCAACTTCTCACCCTCCCTGCCACCCTGGCATGCTGATGGGAAGCTGACAGGCCTCTATAATAAAACACGTCAGAACAGTGCCAAATTAGAGAAGCTGGATTTAATCACTATACAAACCAGTAAGTTATATTAACCTATTTGTCAGGATTTAATATCACATGGGGTTTTGACACTCCTGAACTTATACCGAGTATAGGCCCAAAGGCATCCAGAGATATGCAATTTCACCATGTAAGTTGCTTTGTTGTTGAGCGAATCACTCTTGTTCCATCTTACCTCCTGCAATCCAAACTTCATTTGACTTGGAGATGCCCAAATCCTAAATTCTGAGAAGTGATATTGATCAGGCAGCCATGAAAGGGCTTTGAGAGTATTGTGGCCAGGAGCAAATTCCCTGGAGGGTCATCATAACATGGTGTGGTATTTTAGAACAGGGGTCTACAACCTTGGCAACTTTACGACTTGTGGACTTCAACTCCCAGAATTCCTCAGCCAGTGCAAGGTTGGAGACCCCTGTTTTAGAACACCCAGTAAAGGAATGAAGAGAAGGCCTGGGAAGGATGTCAGCAGATGAAATTGTTTTTCTGAGTCTATATAGTAACATGGCTGTTTTCCCTGACTGTTTCCCACTATCAAGGTACCCAATGAAGGAGATGCGTTTGCATTAACACATGCAAGCAACTTGTGGAGGATTCTATAGGATCCACAGTATAGTCCAGTGTTTCTCAACCTTGGCAACTTGAAGCTGTCTGGACTTCAACTCCCAGAATTCCCCAGCCAGCGAATGCTGGCTGGGGAATTCTAGGAGTTGAAGTCCAGACAGCTTCAAGTTGCCAAGGTTGAGAAACACTGGTATAGTCACATCTATGCAGGGCCTTTTTGTGCTGTGTTTGCTTTCCATACCATTCTACTTCTCATCAGAGCAGAAAAAGGATTTGTAGAGAGACATTCTGTTTGCATTATAGGTTTCAGTTTGCAAATTAAAATCGTAAGAGCAGCTATTGCTCGATCAGTTTGGCAGTTTCTTCTCATAAAGGCGAATTACGGCTGGCATATTGAGACAACACTGCCTCTGATGCTACCTATGAAGGACATTTACAGTCATTCCGATTGGTAACCACTGATGAAATTAATTCTTCATGAATTTACCCAAAAAGCCAGGTGGGCGACTAAAATTTCCAAAGGCTGGAATTTGAAACCGTGATGTGACGCCCAAGACTACTCTCGAATCCCACTAGCCTCCCTGCCTTAGCTTTTAATGGACTCTTTCCATTGGACGGGAAGTGCATTCTGGAAATCAAAGCACCAGCTTATCTTTATTTATAAGAATGCTCTGGTTAAATGATGGAAATCTGCTACTGTCCTGTGTTTTCTTGGAAGAGTACCCATGTGCTAAGGAAGAAAAAGGAGAGAGGGTGGCAAGTATACTACATCAGAATCACTAGGTAACATCCTTGGAGGCTGTGGGGGTAGCAAGGAGCAAAGTGTCAAGTTTTCAGTCTAAAAAAATAGGTGTCTTGTGACTGGTTGCACCCACTATAACAACTATTTCTGGAACAACTCAATCCTTGATGAGACTATGGTGCTATGTGAGTGGCCACAAGATGCTCTTCAACATTCGAGGTTTGGATTGGAAACTTTTGTTCCCTCTGAAGTACTTTGCTTTTAACCCTCCCCAATTTTGCCCTTTCTGAATCATTAGCTGACTGGCTTTTAATTTAATGTGAGAGGGAGCAAAGTGGTTCCCATCCACAGCTTGCACAATTGCATGGTTGACAAATTTTAGCAATATGCCTCCTTCCCATTTTTTTCCCCCAGTCCTTAAAAAGAATTTACAATCCTTTCTCATAGAAGAACTGGTTGGTTTCCTCCCCCACCAGGCCTACACTCCCAATTTAGAAATCTGGCAACTAAAACTGTATACGGTTTTACCATGTCCTATTGTTTTCACCTTATTTTCAGTTGCTTTCCTGATGAAAACAAGGAATTTGCCCTGTTCATGGTAAACACACACACATTTAAACTTTGCATCCAGTTGTTTACCTTGACTCTTAAGATTTTTTGGGCCAGTCAGGACTAGCTTATACCCCGTCAGCATCCAGCTATGTATAATTAGAAAGTTTATTGTATCAGGAAGCACTGCTTTACTTTTGCACTATAAATGTCTTTCACTGAATCCCATGTGCCACTCCCCAATTTAAAGAGATTGTGTGGAGCTCTTTGTTGCTTCTTTGTAATATACCAATCATACACTATCCAAACATTTGGCATCATGAACACATTTGGTAACTTTTACTTAATTCCCAAATTAAAAAACAACAGATTTTCTGTGGAAACTTCCTTCATAAAAATGCCCACTTATTGGAAAGAGGAGTCATGGGTACATGAAAGCCAACATCTGCTATGATTAGATCACCCATTTGGTTTTAATTTAGCATGGTGCGGTGTGAACTCAGCCACCGTGATCTATAAATCATGGTTTAATGCAGTGCAATGAGTAAGTCTAATTATGGCTTATTCAAGGAATCAGAATTATATCTGATTCTCTCTGATTGGCTAGTATGAATTCCAACACATTAACTTTTGAGTCAGCCGTGACCTCCTGGCTTAGTCCTGCTTCATTCAAAAACCTTGCCTTGAGTTACACAGAATGAAAACAGATGTGGAAGAGATGGCCAAGAGTATTTGGCTCCATTCCGACGTACTTATTGCAATGCTAGTTGTTATTAGTTCCATAGCCTCCTGGAGAAGCTTGAAGAGAAATATTGTAGTAGGATAAAACCTGAGTGAAAGTGCTTGGATTTAAGTCCATATTCCTACACAGATCCAGCCAGCCCAAGGGGTCAATGAAGCCATCTATTTAGCATGCCCGATTCAGTGTTAGCTAATGTAGCTTTTTACCAGGCACGAGCTACCTTGAACTCGATAGCATTTACTGTGTTACATGGAAACAGGAAAAGGGGAACATCCCCCCCCTTTAGGGCAATGACTAGTCCAGTGTTTCTCAACCTTGGCGAGTTTAAGTCCTGTGGACTTCAACTCCAGAATCCCCCAGCCAGCATAGCTGGCTGGGGGATTCTGGGAGTTGAAGTCCACAGGACTTAAACTCGCCAAGGTTGAGAAACACTGGACTAGTCTCTTCGCTCACACTCGGGAAAAGCGCCAATCGGAGGCAATATTGACAACTCAGGATTGAGCTGTGAGGGCCCTTGGTGCTCTCAGAGCTTGGTGGTTGCAGACGTTTCATTTCCCCAACGAGGGTACTCCAAGGACTCCACAACGCGGGAGGAAAAAGCCGAAAACAGGCATCTTTGGGCGAAGGGTTGCACCCGGATTCCCACAGCAGAGCTCCTCCGCGCCAACTATAAATATACGCACGCCCTCTTGCTCCCTCCTCCCCCTCCCCGCGCCGCCGCCTCCTCCTCGGCACAGCCTCGATTTAACCCGCCTCCTCTCTTCTCCCTTTTGCAGTTTCTGATTCGCAGCTCAGCTGAACTCCCACATCCGGCCGGTCTTCGATCCCAGCTTCTCTCATGGGCTCCCCAGGTACGGTATTGCGGTGGGCGTCGCGCCCTCTCCAAAGGTGACGCGCGGCGGGGTTGGGTGGCTCTTTGGTCGCCCGAGCGGGGAACGCTCGCCCTCTCGCTCCGCCCGCTGCTCCTGCTCCTCCTTGGGAAGGGTTTGCGCTCCGAGAGTAGCGAGCCTTCTTTGCCACATCCCCGGAGCGTTGACGCCTGGAGGCTGGAGGAGGAAGCCGGTCCCTTTCTTCTATTGCTGGGGCATCGTCGTCGCTCGTCTTTAGAAGGCTCCCGCTTATCCTAGGTAGGAATTTTAAGGCGACGACGAGCAAGCTTATCAGCTCCCCCTCCAGAGGCCTGGTGCATCTGCTTTTGTGGCGTTGCGTCCTTTCCCTTCTTTATAGGGGACAGCTGGCGTTTCCACAGACCCTAAACACCCTCCCCCTCCCCGCATAGCTGGCCCTGGCAGGGCGATTGGTTTCCATACCCAGTTGGACAAGGATTGGGGTGGGTGGGGTGTGTTGATTCCAAATTTTGTATCTACCAGAATATTCTGGGAGCAAAATTAATTTATTTTTGTGTCTTTAAAAAGTCTGCCCCTGGTTGCTTTTTAAATAACCATTACTAGGAGGAGCTTTTGATAACACAAAGACGACCGGTTGAGAGCTGTATGCAACGAAATTTCGTTTTAACGCATGTCAATTAGTATGCTTTTAAAGTGACCATGAAGTTATTCTAAGTCACAGTTGGAAGGGAAATTATTCTCAGAAATCCCCAGATTCAGAAAGAACAAGGAAAGTGGGAAAATCCCGAGATTCAGAAAGTACAAGGAAAGGGGGGAGGATTCTGTGTAGCTAGTAATTAACATAGTATTTTAATGCAAATTTAAAATCCCCACTCCCACCCCTTGCCTGAAGGACTTCAGGTAAATTAGTGTAATCATGCAAAAAATATGTCTGCTGTACATTGTAACTTTTGACATTGTCCATGCAATCGTTTTAGGGTAGTTTCCCAAGGTTGTAATAAAGCCCTTACATCATGTATAGCTGCCGGGCTAGGGTGTAGCTTGGTGTCTTGTTGGGAGCGGAAAAAAGAGCCACTTGAAGCTGAAAAGTGATCTGCTCAGGTTAGTACTGAATTTTATTTCCCCAGCCAGGTGTCTCTAGGGACATATAGGAGCAGGACAGAATGCTTTCCCATCTGCATTTCATAGCAATTAGCTATTTGGAAAAACTTACAGAACTAATGCCCAGCCATGAAAACTCAGTGCTATCAATAGGGTGAATTTTCATTAATTTGTTTAGACAAGAGTTGGTAGGTTCAGAGGGTCAGGGTTGCTTAGCATTTGGATAGGGAACCAACAGGAAATCTCAGAGCTGTATGCTGTTTATGCAAAGTGGAGGTGGATTCCAGCATTACCTATGTGCCATAAAAAAGGACATGTTTTGCTATTTGGTACTTCAGCTGCTTAAGTCATTTGTAGATAAGAATCCCTAAAATAGCTTTGGATAGTGAGATGGGCAACATATAAATTTAATAAATAATAAAGAAATACCAACACACATGCTTGAAAAGTAAATACTTAGTGTAAAGGATCAGCTTTAAAAAAAAAGGATTCCCTTAATAGAAGCTTAGTAACTATTGTATAAGGCTCACTGAACTCTTTGGAACTTGTCTCCAAAAGGCAAACATTTGGGATTTTACTAAGCCCCTTGATTATGTTGCATCTACTGTATCTCTTTTACTCAGCCCAATTAGGCTTTCATCTATTAATCTCCCCAGGCTCCTGTCTTAGACTATACCTCCCCAGAGGCTTTTAATTCTTTTTTTTTTCTTTCCTTTTACTCATGGGCTGCTAGTGGGCTCTGATTACTTGCAGTGTTCTACTAAGATGTCCCAAAGTCTCTTGCAAAATACTGGCTCAGGGGCAAAATTTTGTAATATACAGTCTGGTTGTAGATTTCTTTTGGTTTTAGGTGATCCTCGGAGATGCTCCTTATTTTAGATATTTTTTGTACAACAATGTTTACACTTTAATTATTTGAAAATATACTTTTATCTTGAAAGATAGTTGAAATGAGAGATGGACTGATTTTCTGCCTTGTACGCTGAGGTTTAAACTCAAAACATTCATAGATTTCCCACCGATTGCTTACAAGTGCAGGAATTTCTGGCAGTCCAGGTAAAATGCAAGAGCTTTATGCTTAACCCACCATCTTGTAAGAGAATGTAGCTCAGTAGCATCCATGCTTTGCATTCAAAAATAAAATAAAATTCCAGGTTTGCATTTTGGAAATCTGCCTAAGAAAAATATCTAGAGATTTTTGTTCAAGATTTTGGAAAGCACTTTGTTATTGACTACTCAACTAGGTATACTAGGATTGACCAGGTATAAATTAGATTTCTGGTCAATTGTTAATTATCCTCTGTGTATATATATGCAGAGGAGTGTATAAGGTGATGAAAGAGGAAAGAATCCATATTATGCAAGACTAGATTGGTCTTTCAGTTAAGCCCATTCAGATGTTCACAACTGGCTTCTCAGTCTTGTAGGAAACTTGCCCTCTAGATGTTACTGAACTAACCCTAACCTTAACAAACTGGGTCTAGAAAGCCAATAACAAGGGACACTAGGAATGATAAGTTTAGCAATATCCAGATTCCCGAAGTTTGCCAGTCATGCAGTATAAGTCTATGCTCAAGAATTTTACTGCTTGGGCCAAAGAAGATAAGGTGACATTCGCACAATTAGCAATTGTGTTAATACAGTTTTTTTCTTCCCTCCAATGCTAGAAGCAGGTATGGTAATTCTGATTCTGCTCATATACACACAATCCTCTGGTTTATTTTTAAAAAGCCATTCTTGCAGTTGATAATGAGCCATTTGTTAGTCTACTTAGAAATTCAGATAGATTAATATCAGATAAATAAATTCAAATAGATTATTCTTTTTGGTCCTATTTCACCCACCTTAATAATAAAATGGAATCACAAATCTGTTTTGGCCAAATTAGGATTTTCAAATGGGTAGGATTAGAGATCCACCATTTTGGGACCCAGTGCCAAAAAGGTCACACAGAAACGTTCTGCGTGTACACGCTCGTTGGAGCCAAGCTCTGGAAAAGCCAAACTTCTGGGTTCTAGCATATATGTGCGCCCGACGGTCAACTGGCCGGCGCACATGCGCACACCAGTTTTCAGCACTGGTGAAAGGACAGCTGATCATCACACGTGCATGCATGCCAGAAACTTGAAAGGCAAACAGGCAAGGCTATGCATGTCGGGCAACATGGCTTTGTGTGCCACTTTGGGCATGTGTGCCATCATGGACCTAGACCAACTTAATCCAGAATGTATAGTTTGGAGGTCAATACCTTCCTGGTTGATCAGAGTCACTTTTCCTTGGCCTCTTAGATTTGTGCTTTCTTCAAGTGTTTTAGGAGTTAGGCAGAAGGGCATATGAACACTTGATTATGTAGGATGGACATACTGAATCCAAGCAGTCTGAGTTCTAAATGGTTCAGGATTTGATAATGGGCTTGCGATGCTCAATAAAAGCAAAAATATTTCCTCCCAAAACAATGAAACCATCCAGGTCTTTGACTCTTCTAGCCAATGGAGATGAAGTAACCCAAGTGTATCCATCTGTACTTCAGCCTGGAGCCTCTTCTGTATCTTTGATTATCTTTTTCTTTCTTTCTCTCTCTCCCTCTCTCTCTTTTCAGTATCATTTGTTTTATCCAGGATGGCCGCTTGTGGAGGCACCACTAAAAATAGGCTCACGGTAAATAAGCACGTCTGGGACTTCCTGACCAAGGAAAGTCCTGCCAAACTGGTCAAGTTGAAAGAGGAGAATAAAGTTGGTGTCTTGATCGATGGTGAGACATCCGAGATCTATGTGCTGCAGATTACCATGCCTGCCCATGGACCAAGTAATGGCCTCTACCTGGCTCGTAAGGCTCTCAAAGCACTGCTCAAGGAAACAGAGAAGGAATTGAAGAAGGCTCAGCGTCAGAGTGAGCTGATGGGCTGCATGGCCTTGATGGAGAAGAGCCGGGAACACGGAGCTGTAGAGCTCCACCGTCGAGGAGCTGCCTTGATATCCCGAGGGCAGCAGACCTCTGGGCCAAGAGTAGTAGGTGGCAGTGGAGGGATGGCCAGCTGCTCAAGGGGAGGGGAGGAGGAACAGGACAGCCAGTGCCCCATTTGTTTGGGGGAGATCCAGAACATTAAGACTTTGGAGAAATGCAAGCACTCCTTCTGTGAGGACTGCATCACCCGGGCCTTGCAGGTCAAGAAAGCCTGCCCAATGTGTGGGCGTTTCTACGGGCAGCTGGTAGGGAACCAGCCGGAGAATGGACGCATGCTAGTCTCCAAGGATTCAAGTCTTCTGCTTCCTGGTTACGAGAAATATGGCACCATCATAATCCAGTATGTCTTTCCACCTGGCATACAAGGAGTAAGTTGGGTTCCTCCTTTCCTCTTTCTGTTGTTTAGAAATGGTTTTTACAGGGTCAACTTCCCTGTTCTGGAAGCTTCCAACTGTGCTAAGACTACATCTCCCAGAGCCCTTAGCTCCCATGCAGAACTAGCTAGGCCAAAGTCAGAAGCAGGAATCCTTTCTCGCTTTTAAGGACTGTGTTCCCTCTTAGGGAACTTGTTTGAGGAAACATTGGAACTAAAGTGAGCAACAGGTGGGATGACAGCAAAAAACCAGTTAGGACTCACCCTTTTTAAAATCTCTTTATGACACCCCCTTCTCTTCCTTCTAAGCAGCAGGCTACACCTCTAACTTGAGGCTGAGTTACTTTATTTCGTGAAAGTTTTTCAGATGAGGCCAAAGGCTGCATATGGCATTAGGAGCTGCTGTTCTCTATTTCCCCAGCATTGGACCTAATGGGTTGGCACCAAACTGGAGAAAGCAAAAGATAGGGAGAGAATTGAGAGGAAAAAATGGCCCTGGTCACAGATGGCTGGAAATCTCTTATCAAAAATGGAGTTGGACATATATAGCAGGATTACCAGAATGACACCAGGTTTTATATGGCAATGCAAGGGTTGTGTGCCACCAGTGGGCATTTGGAACATTGGGAAGATAGAAATGTTTGTTTTTAAGAGAGGAAATGAGAACATTAAATCTCTCCAAGGCATAGGAGCACCCATTTTAACTACTCAATTCCATCTCATGTAAACAAAAAAGGCTGAAGTATTCAGTCTCATCCTCTCTGGCCTAATTCTGTCCCCTCCCCCAAAGGAAAACTGGCAGGTCATCTGTAGTATCAGGTCTGTTTACTTTAAATTCCTGCTCTACATAGAAATTTATTATGACTTACAAGCTGCAGGAGAGAACATACGTTGTCAGGACAAGTTTCCGTCACTGTGGCATCCTCAAGTACAGTGTTTTTATTCCTACCCCAAAAATAGGAGTAAAGGGTAAGTGTCTACTTGTGTGTGCGGTGGGGATGGCTTGAAAAGAATGAATTCAGGAATGGTATTGGGCTGAATCTTAGAGTAGGATTTTTGTTAGGTATGTAAATTAACGTTGGCCACCTTCTTTAGGATACATGACTTCAAAATTGGACCTTATCCAACAAATTGGTATTCAGTGTTGACAAATGTAAGGTTCTGCCCTTAGGTAGGAAAAAGTAGATGCCCAGATAGAAGATAGACTGTTCTTGGCTTGGCAGTGGTGCTTGCAAGAAGGTTCTGAGCATTTTGCTGCATCACAGACCAAGCATAAGCCACCAGTGTGCTGCAGCTACCAAAAGGGTCAGTGCAATCTTGGACCACAACAACAGAAATAAAATGTTGAGCTAACAGGAAGTGATAGTTCTGCTCCGTATTGCACTGAACAGACCGTACCTGGAATGCTGTGTCCAGTTTTGGTCACCCTAATACAAGACAATGTAAAGTGCACAGAAAGACACAGATGGTGAGTGACTTGAAGGCTAAAGAATGGTTAAAGAATCTTGGTATGTTTAGCTTACGGAAGAGAAGGATAAAGGGAGACTTGATAACAATCTTCCAAAACATGAAGGGATGTCACAGATCAGAGAGTATGGATTTATTTTCCAGAGCATCTGAGGATAAGATAAGAAACCAGTGGGTAGAAGTTTTATAGCGAGAGATCCAAACTTGAAATAAGGTGGAATTTCCTGACTGTGACTATTAATTATTATCAAATGCTAAGCCATTGAACAGCCTGGCTCCCAGAGTTGTGAGTACTCCATCAAACAAAGGTTGGAAAACCATTTAACTGGCTTGAGCTGAGGATTTTTGCCCAGGATAGAGAGTTGGACTAGAAGCCTTCAAGGTTCCTTTCCAATGATTCCAATGATTATTGGCCTACGTTCTTGCCATCCCATTGAGAGGAAGCAGATTAAATGCGATGGCATTTTGTTCTGACTAGACTTGTAAGGAGGTGGTCAACTGGCCATGCTGGCTGAGGATTTTAAGAATTGTACTGTAATCTCAACACTGAGAGGCAGGCGGCAGGTTGGCTAAGATCGCATTAAAACATGATACAATTCAAGAGTGGGTCTTTAAGCCATCCTTTCATGTCTTCCCAAAGACTCTAAATCTGTAGGCATTAATTGTGGAAAATAATGTAACAGATTAAAATAAAATAGAGGGGATTCATGACTGGGTGGTTTTGTTTTGTTTTTTGCAACATACAGTATATGGAAGTGCTTTTTCTGCGTTTTTTCCCCAGTTTCCTAGTTTAGCCTACAGAGGTGAGATTTCCTTGGGATTTCCCATCTCAGAATTAATCAGATCCCAGCTTGTTTAGGTTTTTGTTTTTTTGTTTTTTACGATTAGCCAAGGAAAGTCACTGTCAGACTTCACTGAAGTCACTTAAAAGAATCCATGAAGGATATTTTATTTACTGGTTCTTTGTGAGGACTAGTGAAATGAAAATTGGCAAAAAAACCTTAGTTTTATTTTTATTCATTTATTTATATCTCGCCTTTATTATTTTTACAAATAAGGTGGTGAACAAATCCAACACACCTTCCTCCTATTTTTCCAGTAACAACAGCCCTCTGAGGTGAACTGGGCAGAGAGAGAGAGAAAGACTGGCCCAAGGTCATCCAGCTGGCCTTCATGGCTAAAATGAGATTAGAACTCACCATCTCCCAGTTTGGAGCCTGTGGCTTTAACCACTAAACTGGCTGGTCTAGTGTCCTAGCATGCACAATCTGGCTCCTTTAAAAATGGTAATATTTAACATGCCATAGGTTAACCAAACAGATGACAATTATTAATATTGATATTTTTTAGTTGATATAATCTTAATTTTTTTTTAAATGTAGAACTTTTTAATCCTGGCTTTGCTGGGGTTTTTGGACCTCTCTAGAAAAACGGTGCATATCCAAGGGTGAAGGAAGCATGAGTTGTGGGGGAAAATATTTCCTTGTTTGTCAATGATTTGCCCTTCTTGAAGGAGAGCAGTATCAGCGAAGAGTAAATGGAGGGAGCATTTAGGTATCAGGAAATAAAAGGTGCCATTTTGCTAACACTGATGTTTGCCTGATGCTTTTAGAGTCTTCTGTAAGTAAAAGGAGACAAATTGAAAACCAGAGGCCGGAAATTTATGGTTGGCAGGTGGAGGGAGGGGGGAGACTCCTGTGTGCAAATAAAAAAAGATGTGAAAGCTTTTTATGAAAGCTGGTGGGGCATAGTGATGTCTGCGTCAGATTAGGACTGAAAAAACTCAGGCTGAGCACTCCCTAGGTGATTCTGGGACAGTCATGTCCTCTTCACAAAAGCAGGTAGTTGCGAGAACAAAATGGCCGGGTGGGAGAAGGGGAAAAGCACAGCAGGCTTGCCACCTTCAGCTCTGGGAAGAAAAGGTGTGACATCCAGGTAAGAAATAAATCTGCCAGGAACTAAAGATGCTCAGTGGCCTACATTCCATATTGCCAACTCTTCTTCAAAATTCCTGGAATTGCCGGAAGGATTTGTTAGGTAGTGGGGCGATTCAAGCCTGAAGGTTCTTGAGCCTGCAAAATCATTTGAAAGGATCCCTGGAATCCGCACTAGCTTCTCTACAGTTTAAAAAAGCCATGCAAATGGCCTAGATTCAAATGATCTCTTTGCAGAAGAAATACCTCCACTTAAGCCATAATATTCTTGCTGTCAAACGTCATGGGATTCTGCTGGAGGATAAGGAAATCTTTGTAGAGTCAATATTTTAGTTTTAAAAAGGAGTAGGATCTATATTTAGGATATACACTGTCACAAAAAAACCCTAATATTAAGAATTAGTTGAAACATGACCAAATTTAGTTATTGCCTTGGATGAAACTATGAAAATGATTCATCAGGGCATTCACTGAGCTTTTTTTTTTCTTGCTGAGCTGATTGGGAAAGTTACTCATAATAAGTTTTCTATCTTACTCTTAGTATGTAAACGCAGGTCACATGAACATTCTGGAATTAGACTCGGTGACACCAGATGGAAACAGCCGGGGGGGGGGGGGGTGACAAGTGTCCCACAAGTGGGACCCAGTTTTTAAAGCATGCCCCTGCTTTCTTGATAGCAGTTTAATACAGCTTGCCAACTCCTGGATGTTTTTCAACTTCCCAATCTAGACAATAGCCCTACCAGTCACCAATACCCAAGTTGCTGTTTTTCAGGTTGGCCACCAGATGTTCCTACTATGAAAACATTTCTAATTCTTTGAATTCAAGTTGAGTTCAACTTGTTTGAAGATTATCCAGGGTGCTTAGGCCTATTGTTCTTGAATCAAAATATTTTTCCACTCTTGACAAAGTGACCAGGAGGCAGACCAAAGGAGATCATCTACCAGGATGATACCTTTTGAGAAAGAACAGCAGATGGACATGCCCTGGGGGAAATTTGCAGAAAAGCTCTATTCCTATGGCCTCATTGGAATTTTAATTGTTTGCTTTTGTAGATTGATGAAGCTGTAGATTTTTCAGTTTGATAAGAACATAGAATGCAGAGGGGAAGGGAAAATGAGGAGAGCCAAGAAGTCCTGCATGGCCATTTTCCCCGGGGGGGGGGGGGGGGAATAGAAAGGGAGAAGATAGTTGATATAGTAACATCAGAGAATAAAATGTTCAGAGGCAATTCCAGCCACTCATCTTTGAACAGCTTAAATATGGCACAGTATTGTAGCTGCAGCTATGGAAGGATGATCGTCTATAGAAAAATCTCTGGGGAAATGTTGATCTAAATAGGGAAGATTTTGGATTGCCAACTGATTAAGAAAAGTAACATTAAAACTTGTTTTGATTCTTTCTCCTGTAAGCTAAATTACATGGCTGAAATGAGTAAGGCCTGGGATCACAGATGAAGAAGGACTGGTTCTCAGAACAAGTTCCCCAACTTTCTTTTTTCTCTCCACTAGATTCTGGCTGGTGGACCTTTAAAATTGAGTGAAAGCAACAGATTCCACAAATCTGCAATCTATCCATGACTTGTAGCATATAAATCTACCATTATTATTAGAATGGAAGATCCATATTTCCATTTCTTTCAGATTAAGATCAGAAGAGTTGTTCCATATATGACCGGAAACAAAAGAGCTAGTTTGATAGTGCAACTGTCTTATCCAATCTTAGCATTTGCTAAACCACATATCCTCTTTATTAAGCATTTGGGGACATTAGGACTTGTAGTCCAAAATTTCTGCCCTATTAAGTTAGGGAGGACTGATTTATTGAGGAAAAACTGTATATTCATTAGAGTTAGCCACTTTTATAAATTACTTATACATAATTGTATTGGATTCTATTTTTTTTCTAAATGAGGCAAGACCTTCCTCTATTTCACTCTCTTAACCAAAGCTATTAAAGTGAATAACAGCTTGTGTTGTTTCTGTTCCTGCTACTCCCCTATTTTAGACTCAATGAGGCAAGACCTTCCTCTATTTCACTCTCTTAACCAAAGCTATTAAAGTGAATAACAGCTTGTGTTGTTTCTGTTCCTGCAACTCCCCTATTTTAGACTCAGATGCCCCTAATCCAACCTTTTCCAATTGTATGGCCATGTTGACTTTGGTAGTACAATTAGAGTTGTGGTCCCATATATTTTGAGGGCAGAAGTGTGTGGGAAAATAGCAATACAAACAAGGAGTGTAGTCAGCCAGGTACAACTATAACAAGTTGTTGCAGGCTGACTCGGGGTTAGTGTAGGACAGGGGTGTCAAACTCACGGCCTGTGGGCCGGATGCATCACATACTAGTAGGCCATGCCCACCTCTGGTTTAGCGAAGGGGAAAGTCGTGATATGTCACAGGATGTCAACATGACGCCGTAAATTTAACACCCCTGATCTAGGAGATTTCACCTGCACCATGTCTATAGGTCAGCTCCTCCATTTCTTGTTTGTAGCTAAGGGTTTTTTCCCCTCAGAAATTCATCTTTCTCTTGCAGGTGGAACATCCCAATCCTGGCGTCCGCTACCCAGGCACTACCCGTGTGGCTTACTTACCTGACTGCCCTGAAGGCAACAAGGTTCTGGCGCTCTTCCGCAAGGCCTTTGATCAACGGCTCACCTTCACTATTGGGACCTCCATGACCACAGGGCGAGCCAACGTCATCACCTGGAACGACATCCATCACAAAACCAACTGCACTGGGGGACCCCAGCTGTAAGAGCTTGCCACTTGGCTGTTGTTAAGAATTCTAGGAATTGAAATCCACACATCTCAGTGTTGCAAAGGTTGAGAAACACAAGGGTGCCTGTGGTTGTGAAGCGGAGGGAATAAAATAAAGGGGGAGGGTTTGGATCAAGGGGCTGCCAAAGGGATATTTAAGGCCACTTGGAACTCAGTAAGGTCCTGTGAGAACCCAAACAAACAGGTTTTTAAAAGGTACTATGCTACAAAGTCCAGAGTCAGTACAGAGTAAGAATGCTATTTGATCTTAGTAGGTTACAAATTGAAAGCAACTTAGTCATATCATTGGATATCACCAAGAATTTCACAGAATAGACATTTATGTTGACTCTCTAAATATTTTTTTTATCCTCACCAGGAGCTTTTCAAATATACACCTCTAATGTCATGTCTTCTTGAAATGTTACAGTCAGGAATTTTTTTAACTTGACGTGCATATTTATGTACCTTCATTCCAGTGGTGGGTTGCAGGCGGTACGCCCCAGTATGGGCGTACTGGAGCCTGCCTGGAGCACTGGGTACCGTTCCGGTACGGTGCTCCAGAGGGCCCGCCCGCCCGAGCTCCTTACCTGTCCTTTAAAGCCTTCAGCGCTTACGCACATGGCACATACAGCACCTGCACAATGCTCTGCCAAGCAGCTGGAGCATCGCAGAGGCTTGCAGAGGCATCGCTGGCAGGTACAAAGCATGCACGTGCTGCGCACATCCATGTGGACAACGCCAGGCCCGTTCCAACTGTACCGGTTGGAATGGGATCCGAAACCCACCACTACTTCATTTGCACTTCAAGTTGATCATTGTGGCATATAAATTTGTTGCCTATGTATTTATCTTTGCAGCAGCCTTCTGAGATAGATTAAGCTGAGAGATTCTATGAACTGACCTTAGTGACTAAAAGGAAATGAGAACTCATTCTAACCCAGCATTGTTACATTGTTCTGTTTATTTAAATTGTTTTGCTTTGCATTGGATTCTTTTCAATATATTTTGGGCGCCTGGTGCTAAAGAAAGTTTTGATTAGCCATCGTTGCATTATGAACTTTTGCATGAACTAAGCCTTGATTATTATTTTTTTGCATAGACCAGCTACATGATTGATGCACCAACTAAGCTTTTTCTCTTATCAACCTGCAGAAGTATCTGACCATGGGTATCCTTCTTGGGGAACCATTTTTCACATCAGGGTTTTTTTGGCGAGAAACCAGTATGCAGCAGGATCCAGAGCACAGTTGTTGTTAAGAATTCTAGGAATTGAGATCCACACATCTCAGTGTTGCAAAGGTTGAGAAACACTGATCTAGAAAATGTTTACCTACTGTAGGATAACATCTTCTAGAAGAGGAAACAACCAGCATACACAGAAATCATAATTTCATGAAAAAAGAAAATCATAATTTCAAGGAAAATTGCTCTGGCATATGCACTTGTTTCACACCAATCAGCTCTTTTGTGCTTCTTGGGTTAATGGGTTCACAGCCTAGAACAGATCCAGAAGCCTTCACCCATTTGAGGGAAGGGGAGCCAGCAGAGGCTGGTTAAGTATTTTAATAAAGGGAGGTTGTCCATTTAATTTTTCCTGAAGCTTTCAGAGAATCCCAAGTTAAGCCACTTTGGGGTAACTTAAACTGCCAGAGTTTAGGTCAAGAAGGGTAAACTCATAAACCTTTTGTCTTCTTTTCCCCCAGGTTTGGGTACCCAGATCCTACATATCTTGCTCGGGTGCAAGAGGAACTACGAGCCAAGGGTATCACCAATGACTGATCTCTATTGCCACGTGCCCAGGAATGGCTTCTTGTTACTGCCGAACTCCGCTCTTGCGGAGGGAGCTCCGTCATTCGTCGGAGCCAACTATCTCTATCACATGATCTTAATCCACAGAACAAAGCTTGAGCTTTGGGGCTGAAATTGACATTTTATATGTAATTGATTGTTTGAGGAACTGGAGAACAAAGACATGAGGCATGAGAGTGAGTGATGCAAAAGAAAGACGATGGAATTTAGGACTCATTCAAAATAGTTGTATCAAGAGGGCCGTCATGCTGAATGATTTGCTTTTGGGGGGAAAAAAAGAGAAAAACAAACAAAAATGGCCTGTCCCTGCATTGAGTAGCAAACATATCATAGGTACCTCTACTGAGCCTCTCTTTTCAATGTGCTAGTTTACTTCATGCAGAGGTTTGTTTTTTTTCTTTTTTTACTGAATGATAAATATATATATATGCACCACCAAGATTTAAAATCTGAAGCTGCAAACTCCAGAATTCACCACCTCAATACTTTGGCTCTTGAGGATAAAATAGATATGATCAAGTGGTAAGTCCAAGAGTGATTTCATATTTTTTTCCCCTTCTTTTTTTTTTTTTTTAAAAATGAGACAGGAGTTTCATATCGATTGGAGAAGCCAAACCTTCCTTTTTCTCCAGTTTGCTTCCCCACATTCTCTTTTTTTCAGAGTTTTCTCTCAATCAAAGTTATTTCTGTTGGAGTTAAGACATGGATTGTGAGAGCATTTGGAAATCCTCACTTCCAGTTCTTTGGTATTAAAATATAGCTATCTCTCTCCGAGTGCTCCTATGATATTTGTCCTTAATGGACTAGGTCCAAGTGAGTGACAAATTGCCCAATGCATTTAGAGAAAAGGTGGGTGGGAAATAGAGGAAAGGACTTCTCCCAGTGTATCTCTGCAAGAGGCCAGACTCCAGTTGTGGAACCCTTTTGCTCAACCTTATTGGTCCACTCTTGTTTTATGCTTCAAGTGGGAGGGAGGGAGGGAGGGTTCATATTCTGAGCTTGATTCCCAAATATGGTTGAAACCAGTGAGCTCTCTTATTTCAGTTCCTCCCTAACCTCAAGTTCCTTTCTCGTTTTTCCCAAAGTGCTAACCACTTTGAGAATGGGACTGTTAGAAATGGGATATAATTGAGCAAAGAACATGTGCAGAGTAGCATTCATGATAGTAGCAGGTGTAGAGGAGGGGTGGTGGTGGTCAAAAGAGGCAGCTGTAGCAGCATAATTGAAACCCCACCCCTTTCGAGCATGCATGTGACATCACATGTACAAAAGGGGTGGAGCTTCAGTTGCACTGTTGCAACTGCCCTTCTGCCTTTATTGACCACCTGCCCACCCAGATGCCACGGATCGTTGCAACCTAGAGTGTACAGTGTCTAGGGTTAACGTCAAGTGAATGGGAAATGGGACCATAAATGGGGTGTTGTATGTGATTTGGGATGGGATCAGAGTGACTGAAGAGCATGGGTACTGAAGCCAGAGGCAGGGCTTGGACTTTGCACACCGTTCCTTACTTGGTGTTCAGATGTACACCCATCCCCAACTTCTGACTGATGAATTGTGGAGCTCAGGCGTTCCTGCCTCGCTCACGCACTCCTGTGCTACTTTTTCTTCAGGATCTGTTATCAAGGCCAACTCGGTTGAACTTTCTTGAAACGTTGGGACATACCAGCTAAAACAAACAAGAAGCTTCTTGATTCCGGACAGAGAGGCCACAATTCAAGTGTTCTCCTTGGAGAGGAGGATCAGCCACCTCATGGGACCACCCCTTGTGTATTCATAGGCTTCTCAGCTGGCATATCGACTCTCCTATAATTATTCCAGCCTTTCCACTTGGGACAACTAGTCTTACTGGGATCTTAGCCAGCCCTTCTCTTAAATCTCTGGTGGGTCTGTAATGCTCCTGACTCTGGGCGCCTACCTGTTGTTGAGTGTTTTGTGGGAGGGGGAGGGAGGGAAATGTCTCTTGGCTAACTGTAAGCGTGTCTCCTCTGGCAGAGATGACTTCTAATACTCAGTTTGTCTCGTATTGGTGAGAGCTTCCCACGAACGCACAGTTTGGACAACGGGGCTTTCTTTTGCTGTTTTAAAAAAGAGTAACTGAACATGTGCCACTTGTTCTCATCTTTGTGGAATGCGTGTTTGTGGTTTACATATTTCCACCTATTTATTCAAAGGAGTTTACAGTTTGAAATGATGGAATGTGAACCGAAGGGCACAATGAACAGGGAGGGAAGGGCCCGGGAAGGGGGGGGAGAGAAAGGAAATTGTAACCCCAATTGTTAAAACTGCATTAGATAATTGTCAGAACCATCATCAGAAGGGAGTCTTGGGAATGGCATTTTTTCCTCATGAAAATCAGCCAGCCAGCAAAGATATTTCTTTCCTTTTCACTGTGGGTATATCAGCTGACTTCTAACAAAAGGGTGGAAAAAGGAAACCAGACAAAATACAGCCTTCTCCCACTATGCAAAGAAATCTGGCTTAGTAACCTATGAGTAGGTATGTACCAATCCATTTTAGGTGTTGTGTTATAGGGAATTGCCAATTTGAAGCAGGAATTCTTTTGGCGATTTTCAGAAGCCTGCTTTTATTAATGTGCAGTTTATTGGTATGATAAGATGTATCTGCTGAAGTGAAGGAAAACCTGAACTATTGAACCAGAGCAGAAATTATTACAGGAAAACATTGCCTCTTGCACTTGTTCAGAATGTCTTGGTTTTAATTTTCTTTCCTTATCCAGCATCTTAAACACTTTTAGATCTTAAAGAAGCAGGCTGCACAATTGTTTATAAAGGAGTGCGACTTGGATTGCCTTGCTGTGTCTGCCATCTTGCCTATTTTGACTCCACATCCCCACTCTATGGATGCTATAAATTTTAATAAAATACCTAAATACCTAAATGCTGCAGATAGTCTAGGCCAGGGTGCCCAAACTTGGCAACTTTAAGACTTGTGGACTTCAACTCCCAGAATTTTCCAGCCTGGCTGAAGAATTGTGGGAGTTAAAGTCCACAAGTCTTAAAGTTGCCAAGTTTGGGCACCTTTGGTGTAGGCCAGTCATTCTCAACCTTTTCAACCACGAATCCTGGCCACGGACCCCCAAGACTTAACTCAGGGTTTAATCATAACATTTCTTCAAGCCTTTTTGTTTCTCCTGTGATGACCTCATGGCTGCCCAGGGGTCTGCGGACCAGAGGTTGAGAACCATCGGTCTAGGCTGCTTGAAAGATGATAATGTTTATGCTGCCCAATTCCTTGTGACTCTGGGTGGTTTGCAAACTGCTAAAAACATTTGAAACCAACGTAACCCCCTCCCCCAATATAGATAGCGGAGAAAACAAACCTGGATGGGACAAAGAAAATGGAGCTTCAATAATACTCACCAAAGGCTTGTGCCACCAAGGCCTTTAGTGCCTTTCCAAACACCAGAAAGGTGGGCGGCCATTCGAATCTTGAGGTGGGGGGGAAACCAGAGAATAAGATGCAATGTAAGAGGTGCCAAGCTGACACTAGTTGGCACCCATTTGTTTTTTAAAGTTATGAGCTATAAGGTAAAGATAAATTACTAGGAAAGTTGGGAATGACAGAAAACAAGTACATTTTCATTGGACAAACATGGGAGAGAATCACTGACTTGATTATTCAGACAGCCAATACTCTCCTGTGGGATCTTTCAGCTCTGCAATTGCCCTACTGCTGAATGGATATGCAGTCTCAGGGATGGTATTTCTGTGCTAAAATTTAGCTGCCACATCCTTACTTCTCTTTCAGTGGTTGCTCCATCCCATTTCCTGTTTTGAAATGTATACTTCTCTTTCTGGCTACATTTGTGCATTGACCACTTCTGCATCTACATATTTGCACAACTTATTCATTTGAATTTGAACCTTTTAATGTAGGGAATTCAGTAGGAATAGGCTTTTGCCTCTTGCACTGAACCTGTCCACCCTTGATCCCAGTTAATTTTGTCTGATTATCTTAAATTTTATTAGATCAGCAGGTCTGATGGCAAGGACAGAGCTGTAGAGGCAGGCAAAGGTTGGCATCCAGATTGAAGCCTTGTCTGCTTGATCTTGAGAAGCTAAGTAGGGCCAGTAACCAAGTATGAAAGTCCATTAGAAACCCCAGACTGTTAGCTGGCTTGAAAACATGTATCAGAAAAAGACAGTTGCAAATCATTTCTGCTTTGTCAATAAAGCTACACAAATATGTGTCTGAAACCCAACAGAAGTAGAGCTCAACTTGAAGAAGCCCATAACACTTCAGTTGAGCAAGCATAATCCTATATATATTTACTCTATGGTGCCTAATCCAGGAAGTCAGTCACAGGCCTACCAAGTAGGTACACTAATGCAGTGTTTTTCAACCACTGTGCCGCGGCACACTAGTGTGCCGTGACATAGTGTAAGGTGTGCCGTGGGAAAAACACTTTATATATAGTCAATATAGGCACAGAGTTAAATTTTTTAAACATTTTCTAATGGTGGTGTGCCTCGTGATTTTTTTCATGAAAAAAGTGTGCCTTTGCACAAAAAAGGTTGAAAAACACTGCACTAATGTATATAACTTATATAGAGCAGGATAAGAAGAGGCAACCCGTGCAATTTGTTTCATGGATGCTTTATATTCTTTTATGTCTTAACAAGGGATGGGAAGCAGGTATTGTACAATGACTTCCCTGATCCCCTCCATGCTGCTTTTAACACAACATTTAGGTTCTAAAGCAGTGTTACTCAACCTTGATGCTGGCTGGGGAATTCTGGGAGTTGAAGTCCACGGGACTTAAAGTCGCCAAGGTTGAGAAACACTGTTCTAAAGAAACCGAATTGTAATCAGGGAAACGTGAAGGAACACTTTCATAAGGCGTGGTGGATAGTCTACTAAAACGTTTGTCTCTTTGTAAACATCAGTTGGGCAAAATGGAGTGTTATACCAATTTTGTTCAACTTACCTCAAACGGGCTAACTTACAGAATACGTCCGAAGTTCATGACCCTTTCGATGATGCCGCGCCACCCTATTCTCACAATCAGCTGTAGTCATGTGATGGTCATTTTCAACCCTCCCTGCCAACTTCCTACATGTCAATGGTGTAAATTTGTTTGTGATTGCCATGCTCCCTGCCAGCTCCCACAAGCACAGTTGATAGTAGAAAAGCTGGTGGAGAAGGTTTCAAGTTGCTTGGGTAAGTTTCCCCACTCATGCAAGTTCCCCAGCCACTCTGCACTTGCACCATGCCAACTCCTTGTGCACCTGCATTCAGTCTCCCCCACCCATTCCGTACCCTCTTGCACCTTTGATCCATGCAGCACCTCTCCTGCACCCCTGTTCCGCACCCCGTGCCCGATTCCCAACCACTTGGGCATCTCTCTCATACCCCTGTGCATTTCTGCAGAAGCCAACCTGTGTTACACTCTGCATCTTCCCTGACCCCTATGGCATCTCTTGTGCACTTTTACATATCCTGACCCACATTGCATCCCTGTGTACCCTCCCAGTCCTCCAAGGCACTTCTGTGCACCCTCCCTGGCCTGTGCAGTACCTCTTGTGCATCATTGCACATCCTCGTCTGCATCGCATCCTGTGCGCCTCCTGGATTTGTGCTGCACCTCCCACACACCTCCTCTTCCTGACCTGTGCTACATCTGGCAAGTCCTCCCTCTAGCATCACTTGCTCACCCTTTCTGACTCTCACCACACCCCTGTGAATCCTCACTAATGTTCACAGTGCCTATTCTTTTTTAAGTCAACGGAAAAGCCAGCAGAAGGC